CATCTACTCACTGTCTCCCCCCCCCTTTTCTCCCCCCCCCCTTATTTATTCTTGGATCTGGACTTCTAATACTCCAGTCATCTGAGGAAGTGGGTTGCGCCCATGAAAGCTCATGATACTGTCTACATGTTTTGTTAGTCTGTAACAGTAAAAACTTAAACAACAAATAGTCTAGCACCTTAAAGACTAACTCAGCTACCCCTCCAAAATTTTTGTTGATTAATCTTGAAACTCTCATACTATACTGATGAGTCCATAAGAAAATTAATAATTCTGTCTCCAGGAGCAGAGTTTGAGCTGTATGCCATAAGGCATGGGGCCATATACTGAACAAGTATTGAAAAACAAACACACAGATTCTCATTCACTGAGCACCACCTGTCCGGTGTGCTCCTTTCCCCTTAGAGTGGTCACAGCCTCCTACTAGCCACATTCCACTTCTCCTCCAGCTCCCAGTCAAGCACTCTATACCCACTCACCAAGCTCTTATCCCAGTCTCTTTCCTCAGTCTCTCCCACCCAATACCCTGGCTCTTTGCGGAACTCTAACCTCCATCCCAATGGTTTCCCAGTCCCAATCTTTTCTCAAATCTTCCAGGTTGTCTCAGGCAACCTATTCCCACTCCCAGCTCTTGAGTAGGCCTGTGTCTGGTCCTCGTTTTATTAGAATCACACAAATTTTCCTACCAAACCACCTGAGCCTAGAAATTAGGGGAGGCTCACTGAGAACACAGAAGACCACCTCCTCTTAGCCTGAGGCAGCCAGCCAGCATGAAAAAGTGCAGCAGAGTTATAAGCAAATGACAAAAGGGAACTCTTAGCCTGAGGCAGCCAGCATGAAAAAGTTCAGCAGAGTTATAAGCAAATGACAAAAGGATAGTATAATGGGTAGTGCTGAACCTTAACAGGTAGGTGGTGCTTCTATACCTGTCAGAAATAAAAAAGTCCTTACCATGAACACCAAGATTAATTTGAAACAAGCAGCAACAGTATGAGGGAAAAGGGTTGTGGAGGAAGGCATGTATATGAGATCACTGAAAAATTAGCTATATTCACAATTTGATATTTTAATTCCTTTGCACATTAAAAAAAGTAACTGTAGCTCAAACCAGCCACTATTACTTAACAGTTCTCTTTTTTTCTACATTTAAGTTTGTTGCCTTTCACCTTTAGGTACACCTGACTCATCGTACACAAATCTAAACCCTTGAGAGCAACTCCTGAATCAGTAGCATTTGTACAGATCCAGGAACTCACTATGTTAACTAAAACTGAAAACTTGTAGGGAAGTTTGAACATGGGAGTACAGCAGAGAAGGCTTCTATGTAGTCTGCCCCTCACAGATACACAGAGCTCAAGTTATTGAACAGATATTGGGACTATATTCTGCAAATTTTAGTAAAGCTGAATGGACCCAAGATGCTAATTTTTAAGCAATATTATTAAATTACAACAATTTATTTTGGATTTCAAATTACAATGATTTATATCTAAACAAGTAGTATTTCAGTCATCACCATGATGAACCCGCAACAGCAGGATACTATTTCAGTGTTCCTTATAAGCTGTGCAGGCATTCAGGAGATTCAAATGAACTTCATCTGATTAGCAGAGCACCCACAGCTATTGCTTAAATAGCTCTTCACTCCATCACAAGGAAAGATTAGCATGCTTTACCAGTTACTAAGCACTTAAGTATCAATGCCACAAGATATGGCTTAGTCACTTTATATAAAATATGCAAGTGCTAGTATCACAGTTCTAAAACATACAATAGACTTATCCAGTCTCAAGAGAGACACATGGATGCTCACTGGACTAAACAAACCTTGTTTGGGGCTGACTTGAACAAGTAGAATAGTTTCACATCTAGCTTACTGAAAAAACCATAACCTTAGTGATGGCATACACTGGAGCTTAATTATCTTCTTGATATTTCCCTTGTCTTCTGCCAACTGTCTGATTATTTGTTAACTCACATTAAATCATGTCAGATACTGCATTTATGCTTCTTGGAAGCAGGAACACATGTAACTGTAGGCAAGTGGGCAACTCTATAGGGGAGAGTAAGTAAGTTTAGATCACAAAGACAATCCTGTGGATAGAAGCCTGGGATCTCTTCCTTTAATGAAGTTTAAGTTTCTGGACTTTCAGACATGGGAAAGCTGGTCTAAAACTTGGTCTTTCTTTATAAAATATTTTACACACAAACAGCAACACCTCTCTCCAACCCGAGTTACAACGTAAGAACCTAGCATGCTACAAACACAATCGATGCAGTTACCATATTATTTTATTTTGCATACTATAAATAAGCATCCACTAAAGAACTTCCCGCCCAGCAACTTCATTACTAAAGTG